ACTCAGCTAGTGTCAGAGAATTGGAAGTATGAATAGAGTGTGTAGAAAAACAGGTATTTTTCTTTCGACGGAAACAATGAGCGCTCCCATTAGCCCATAGGTTAAAAATACAGGAAGGGCCCTGGCTGGTGTAGCTCAGTGGATTGAGTATGGGCCTGTGAAGCAAAGAGTCGCTGGTTTGATTCCCAGTCAGGGCACATGCCTGGGGTACAGGCCAGGTCCCCAGTAGGGGACACATGAGAGGCAACCACACATTGATGTTTCTCTCCCACTCTTTCTCCTTCCCTTCTCCTCTCTCTAAAAATAAAAAAAGAAACACAACTTAAAAAAAATACAGGAAGGGCGCTTCCTCTAGGAAGTAGTAGCCTTGTACAGGTGGGTGAAGCAAAGGTTGGATTCCAGTTGGATACACAGCCTTTCGGCCAGGCCGGCCCACCTGCACAACCATATAGGCCTGGCACCTGCTGGGGTGGCTGTGTGCTGACTGCCAAGAGACTTGGATAAGGCCTATTGAGGCTTCTTAGAACCAAAGAAGTGCAAAGCTGGCCTGGCCCTTAGGTATCACCTAGAACCATCGTAATCATGGTACTTGTAGCTGCCATGTATGAAATACTTATGATGTACCCAGTACAGAGCTAAGCATTTTGTCTGCATGATCTCATTTCAATACTCAAAAAGGACCAGGGTGCCCTGGCTGGTGTGGCTCAGTGGATTGAGCCTTGGCCTGTGAATGGAAAGCTCAATGGGTTCAGTTCCCAGTCAGGGCATGTGCCTGGGTTGCAGGCCAGGCCCCCAGTTGGGGGCGTGTAAGAAGCAACTATCTATTTCTCAGACATGGATGTTTCTCCCCTTTCTCCTTTCCTTCCCCTCTCTCTAAAAATAAGAAACAAAATCTTAAAAAAAAAAAAAGGGACCAGAGTAAGGTAGGGCCTATCATCAACCCCATTGGACAGATAAGGAAACTGAGGCTTTAAATACTCTAAACTCTTCACTTTCAGGTATAGAGGACACAGTGGCAGGGTGATTTGCCCCTGGTCTCATTGCTAACCAAGTAGGGTTTGAACCCAAGTCTCCTGAGCTCAACTGCCCCACCACTGGCCACTACCCTACAAGGGCTTATAAGAAATGGAGAAGACACTAGCTATGTGACCCTGGGCGAGTTGCTTAACTTCTCTGTACCTTAGTTTCGCTGTCTACAAGGGGGAGTTAATGAAAAGTTCCTGCTTTGCAGGGTTATTATGAAGAATAAGTGAGTTCATAACTGGTGGGACCTGGAAAAGTGCCTGGCACACAGTAAATGCTCAGTAAGTGCTAGCTCTTATTATCATCTTGGAACTTAGTCCTGGAAAATGGTGGGGGGAAGTGGTGAAGAAAAAGAGGCAGAAATCAGGCTTCATGGTAGGTTTGGTGGCTCTGTGGTTTTTAGTTTTTTATTTGTTTTTACTGTTTCCCTATTCTTGACTGGCCATGTGATCTGAGAGGTGTTCCTGAGGTGGGGATCCAAGCACTGCCACCAGATACACAGCACCTCTTGCTGTTCCCTCTGCCTGGAATGTTCTTTTCTCAGATAGCCTCATGCCTTGCTGCTCCATCTCCTCTAAGCCTAGACTAGAAAGTCACCTCCCCCCACCCCAGACCTGCCCTGGCCATCACCTGTCTCCCCAAACTTCCTACTTCTTTCCCCTGCTTTACTGTTCTTGGCACTTAGTAAAACATATCATTCATTTATCTCTAGAATGTAACCCCCAAGGGAGGGAGAGACTTTTGTCTGCTTTGTTCACTGCTATCCCCAGTGCTTAGAACAGCGCCTGATATGTAATGGGAGACTTCTTTTATTTTTTTTAAATTTAGTGAATGCTTGAACCTGCCTTGTTCAAAGTCTGCCTATAGCCTGTCTGACCTCAGAGCTGGCCGGGAGCTGGAATGATGAATGTAACCTGACCACTTCTGGGTCACTCATGCCTTGCCTGTTATACTTCCAGGGCTTTATATGCATTGCCTCATTTAATGATTTTCCCCAAAGACCACCCAAAGTTAGTATTTGTATTATCCCAATTTTTCCTGAGGCTCACAGAGGGGTGGATACACCTTACTCAAGGTCACACAGCTTGTGACCAGCAGAGTCAAAATTCAAATCTGGGCCTGTGTGAATCCAGATGCTGAGTCTTTCCCTCTGCCATACTGCTGGATCCAGCCCTGAAGGGGCCTAGGGCCAGCCAGAGGGTTGCAGAAATCACCACACCAGGTCTCACATGCTAAATGCTAACTGCGTCACGTCTGACTCTCCTTTCTCTCGCTCCCCACATCCAGCAGTCACCAAGTCCAGTCAGATCTGCAGCCCAGCTTGGAAATGGCTCTGGAAGACTTCCCTTCCACCCACCTCTGGCCCCCAAACTAGCCCAGGGCCTTGTTATCACTCACATGGTCTAAGGCCATAGCCTCCCAGCTACTTTCCTGCCTGACGCTTACCATCCAGCCTTTCTCTCACTGAAGGTCAATGTCCCCAGTGCAGCTCAGGTGGTATTACTCCTAGTCTCAGAATCCTTCACTGATCCCCACTCACTCCTAAATGAAGTTCAAATTCTTCAGCTTGGCATTCAAGGGTCTAGTTCCAATCTGCCTTTCTAATCTTGCCTGTGTCAGTCTCCCTTCAAGCACCCGGTGCACTGTCCAACCTCAGTGCATCCTGTATCTCCATGCCCTTGCCTATGCCAGTCCCCCTGTCAGAAATACAGGTTGTCCCCCCTGTCCCCAACCTCTTCCCCAAAGCCTCTGAAATGTTCAGATTAAACTCAAATGCCATCTCCCTCTTGGCCCTCACTGACGCACAGGACAAGGTCAATCTTTTTTTCGCCTGGCTCATCAGCATTTTTTTCCTCTGTGGCCAGCAACTAGCAGTAGATAGAAGCTCATTCCCCAGGCTAAGATTCCCTGAGTTACTAGGCACATGGGTCTTCTAAAATGGAATGGTGCAGGTGTTAAGTTATACAGAAAATAGGGAGAGTGTGTGCACAGAGTGGCCCACAGAAGACTTCAGAAGGGCCGCAGAGGACAGCGTAAAAGAGCACAGGATATGGAACCTGACTGTCTGAGTTCAAATCTAGCTTTACCTTTTACTGAGGGGCTTTAGGCAAATCACTTCTCTGGGCCTCAGCTGTCTCATTTGAAGAAGAGAGGTAATTAGAATACCTACTCCCATGGGGCACTGTGAAGACTAAATGAGCCATCAAATGTAAAAGCTGAGAACAGTGCCTGGGTACACAGTAAGTGCTAAGTAAGTGTTTACTGCTCTTGCTATTAGCCCAGCACCGACAGGGGCTCAGCGCTGACAGATGGCAACAGTTGCTGGCACATAGTCCCTGAACTATAGCGACTTTCCAGGTGTATTTCCCAGGTGCTACTTGCTTACAACCCAGTTGGAAGATAGGCAGGTCAGGCAATTCACCCCATTTTACAGATCAAGAACTGAGGCTCATTCAGAGAAAGTTCCAGTGAGGAAGCAGTAGGGCCAGAACTGCTCAGTTCTAGTCTAGGCCCCCTTCCCCTCAGCCAGGCGGGGGTGCACCTGTTGTACAGGCCTCTCACAGCACCTAGCAACCCCTCTGTGCAGGAGGCCCAGCCATAGTGTCTTCCCCCCCATGCATGTCCACCCTCCTGGCCAGGCTAGGGACAGTACCCAGTGGTGTGCACGCATGGAATGCACACACACCATTCACCCCCGCCCGCACCCCCACTCACACACACATCTACAGAAGCACCCAGGCCCCAAAGGTACAGAAAACCTGCTCTGAGGAATCTGCCTAGTGAGCGAATTCAGACCCTTCCACAGTCACAGGAGCTGCCCAGTGTGCGTCACAGAAGAGATGGAAAAGCAGAGATACCGGCAACGGGGGCCGAGAGAGGGTGAAGCAGGCTGAAAACTTCGTGTTTCTTTTTTCCATTTCAGTGACAAGAGTCACACCCGACCTTTACGTAAACATGACCAAGGAGTCACTCTATCCAAGCTCAGTTTCCTTGCAGACGCCAGGCCTCTCCTCCCAGTGACCCTGAACGCGCTGGGCAGGCCAGTGAGAGGCGAGCTCACAGACCCTGCACAAAGACTAGCTGGGCCACCCAGACGACACCCAAGCCTCCCGCCTGCTGCCCTTGCTCTGCCCCATATTTATCTCCCTGCCTCCTTCCTAACATAGCCCCACAGCAGCCCCACAAGGCCACTTAAACACACAAAAGGCAGGCACGCACACACAGCCTGCGGCTGATCTCTCGACGCTGAGGCCCACATGTCCTTGTCACGCCACCTCCCTCCCCAGTGTTTTCTGAGCAGCTCGCCTCCAAGCCCAACAGCACAGACAGGCTCCCCACAAACAATGTCACAAAAGGATTCCTTAGAGAATGTTGCACACACACAACCCTCCCCTTACTAGGCTGCCCATGATCCCATAAACACCACCTGCATATCCCACCCAGAGCCCCTCACACCAGTACCAGCGGCTCCACAAGTACCTGAGACACACCCTATGGTTTTTCAAGTCCCTCATGATAGGTGGTACCTGAGTTCTAGACATGTACACACCCCCCACCACACGCACCTCATCATCACGTAGACACGGGAGCCTGGGAACCCTTCCAGCGGGGGCCATCCTCACCAAGACTGGGCCACATCTCAGAAGCACAGAAATGGGATCCAGAAGTGACACCTTCCAACTTGAAGGTAAACAACCGCCCCCTCCAAACAGGCACATACACCCTACACTCTGGTGATGTCCAGAGCACTTACACCAGCTAGCTATGCAGAAAACAACAGTTCATAAATAGTTCATATGTACAGTCAGTAGAGGAAAACACACTGGTATAAAACATGCCTAAAACCCCACATCTAACAAACTCTGCATGTATTGTACCTTGCTTGGAATGTGGACCTGTCACCCAAAGCCACAGGGCCACATGTTGTAATTCTGCCCCACAACACTGGGCACCCCACCACCTGGCTTTCTGTCCCTATGGCCCAGCGAGGGCCCTACGCAGACCCCTGTCTGCCAGAGCAGCAAACAGTGCTGCCCAGGAGAGGTTTACCTTGTCCCACAACACAGCAGAAGACACAAAATCTCCAGGACTCACAGCCACAACCCTGCCCCGACAGCGCAGCAGCTCCGGGGCCCCTGCTGCTCCTGCGCACCCCGTACACCCTAACTCTGGGGCGCTCACCGGCCCACCCCTCCCCCTCTCTGCCTGGCTCCTACGCCATCGCCCTCCTAGCAGCTAGCAGCGCCGGCCGGGCCTCACGCCCGCCCAACCCTACCCCCAACCTGCCCCAGAAGAAGAGCGGGACCTTCGGCGGCAGAATTAACCTTTCAAAAGGGGAGTGAGGAGGCCCCTTCCCCGGCCCTCTGCGATCGCACCTCCCCCGGCCGCCGCTGGGTCGGACGCGGTACCGGGGCCCCTTAGTCTCCCCGCAGCGCGGTGCGCGCCTGGGGGCGGAGCCAGGCTCAGCCCACGACCCCTGAGCCCCCAGGTCAATCCCAAAGGGTAGCGGTGGGGCGCGAAACGCGACCCGGGCCCCCGCGGCACCGGGCAGCGGGGAGGGGGCCCGGCTGTTGGCTCCGGTCCGCCCTGGCCCTGCCCGGTTCGCCCCGGGGCCCACCTGACTGCGATGGCGCCGCGTCCGCCAGGCCCGGCTCATCACCGAGGCCGCCCCCGGCCGCTCCTGTTTCGCCCGCCTCCAGCTCCGGCTCCGGCTCCGGCCCCCCCAGCGCCCGGCCCCGGCCCGGCCCCGCAGCCGCCGCCGCCGCTGACATCATCGTCTCCCCCCCCCCCCCGGTCCTACCCCCACCCCCACCCCCGGAAACAGGCCCCCCCAGCGTCGCCGCCGCCGCGGAGAGAAGGCCGGCGTAGTGCAACTGACACAGACACAGGGCTCTGGGCTCGGGTTGGGGCGAGCGCACCCGACGGCCTTCTCCCGGACAGATCGGAAGGGAACGGCTGCGCATAAGGCCGCCGGACTAGTGGGCATCCAGCGGGGCGCAGGCCTGGCAGCAGCTCTCTCGCAGGAGAGCACGATCACCCACTCCCTTGGAAGGGGCAGCCTGCCCCCTACACACACACCGCATGCCCTTCACTCAGCGTTGCACACAACCCAGAGCAAGCACAGCCTCTCAGGACACAGACCCACAACATGGCAGGCTCGCAATCGGGCCCTATGGGACGTGCAGAGTCAGGGTCAACACACTCACAGGGCCACCACACACACACACACACACACACACACACACACACACACTCGAGAAATTCGAGGCACCCCCATCAGGCCGATGGCCAGGTATGTCCCAGCCTTACAGAACAGGCACACATAAATGACCATCAGCGCAGATGAAAACGCATCTAGGTATTTTGTCACCACCAGGGAAAATATCCGATTCTATATACTTGTCCGTAAATGCAGAGGCCTTGGCGTGGGCCTCCTGGGACAGCACCAAGAAAACACCAGGTGGAAACACACACAGGAGCAGCACATTCCTGAAACTCCAGAGGGACAGTCCCAGAATCTCCTCCCTGCTGTTCAAAAATTCAAAAATCAGGAAACAGAGGAGCAAGTTCTCAGAGTTCCTTTCTGAAAAACCCTTCCAAAACAAGGCAACACATAAACTAATTTAAAACCAAAGAAGTCTCATCAGAGAGCTAGTCCTAAAGGGGAAAAAAGGATTAGAAAAACTTTGGAGTAACAAAGATGTATCTCTCTCTCTCTCTCTCTCTCTCTCTCTATCTATCTATCTATAGCACACAGAGTTGAACACAATGAGAAAATAAGTTCACCCCCATCTCAGGGAGGTTCCTGGGAAGAACCTCCCCCGCCCCCCCCACACCCCTACCTCAGGAAGATTCCACTGAAGAACCCTACCTCCACTTCAAGCGAATCTCAATGGCTAGAGCTCTGAAGTGGCCCAGGTGCCCTGAGCCAGGAGGGAAGGAGGAAGTCCAGGGACAAATGGTAAGAGTCAGGGCTAAGGGGGCATAGCCTCTGTCCCTGTAACTCCTGGCTGCTCCCTTTCTCCTCCTTCCCTAAAACTTCCCAGCTGTCCTAGAGATACCCACAAATGAAATTCACAATGGTGTACCCACTGTGAATGGGGTACCCACTGTGAATGGTGTACCCACCTTCCCTTCCTCAAACCAACAGAACATCCCTGGGTCCTCTTTTTCTCTTCCCAGGAACAACTTACTCAGAGAAACACGATGCTCCAGGACTGCTTACTCCCCGTTTCCTGCTTTAGAAGCTCAAGGCCCACACCGTACTACCTCATTTGTCTTTCAGGCCCTTCCTAGCTCCCAAGTTTCTCAACAAGACAGCCTGCCTCTCTACCGTCCCACAGGGTCCTAGGCTCTAAGCCTAGCATTTGCCCGATCCCTGGTCCCCTGGACTATGACTATTTAATGCCCAAGTTCCTATCTCCCTGACAGGCTGGCAAGTCACCCCCTACTTCAACCTGCCTGACTTCACCCAGCCATTGCCACCCTCCACGCCACCCCCCACTCAGCTCAACTGTAACCAAACACAGGTCCAGTTGCCTGCCACTTCGAAAGCCAATACTCAAGAGGCAGGTGCTGATGTAAAGTGCTTTATTTCAGGTGCTGCCATGTGGATTATTGGGACTCACATCTCAAAGCCCGTCTCTAACATCTCAGTGCAGGCAGAGGTTTTTATAAGAAGGGAAAAGGGAACAGAACAGAGATCAAGGGGGGAGTGGAAAATTTCCCTACATGCAGAGGAACACAGTCCATTGTGATAAGGCAAGTGACGGTCCGGTGTGCATCATCCTGTTTTCGTCATTCTGGCTTCACATCATCCTGGCTTTACATTATCCTGGCTCAACAGCAGAAGGTCATTAAATCTCCTAGAGCTGGGATGCTTGAAGGTCAGAGACTTTATCTTTTGAAATTAGTCTCTGGATCCTTATAAAAACACCTTGTTTATCTACCAGCTGCATATTAGTCAGAGTCAGCATTTATAGAAGAAATGTCAAGAGAATGGTGGGGTGGGTTACAATTCCCCACTATCAATTTTTCTTCCATTTCCATGGAAGTCAGATAGTTGTAGCCGAAACACTTAAGAAAACTAGAAAAATTCAGGATCCAATCCTATTTATAGGTGAAAAATAATTTTTTTAACTTTTTTATTGATTATGCCATTACATTTGCTCTATTCCCCCCTCCATTCCCCTCCACCCTGCATACCCCTCCCCCACCATTTCCCCCTTTAGTTCATGAACACGTGTCTCAAATTCTTTAGATTCTGTATTTCCCCTACTATTCTTACCCTCCCCCCTATCTATTTTCTATCTACTGTCTATGCTACTTATTTTCTGTACCTTCTCCCCCCTTCTACTCCTCCCACTCCCCTGTTGCTAACCCTCCATGTGATCTTCATTTCTATGGTTCCACTCCTGATCTAGCTGTCCTCTTAGTTTGCTTTTGTTTTTTTTTTAATTTTAAATTTTTTCATTGATTATGCTGTTACAGTTGTTCTATTCCCCCCTTCATTCCCCTCCACCCTACCCCCCCATCCCCACCGTTATCCCCCCTTTAGTTTATGACCATGTGTCTCAATTCTTTTAGATTCTATATTTCCCATGCTATTCTTGCCCCCCCATCTATTTTCTATCTACTGTCTATGCTACTTATTTTCTGTACCTTCTCCCCCCTTCTCCTCCTCCCACTCCCCTGTTGCTAACCCTCCTGGAGATCTTCATTTCTATGTTTCCACTCCTGATCTAGCTGTCCTTTTAGTTTGCTTTTGTTTTAGGTGTGGTTGTTAATAACTGTGAGTTTGTTGTCCTTTCACTGTTCATGTTTCTTTATCTTCTTTTTCTTAGATAAGTCCCTTTAACATTTCATATAATAAGGGCTTGGTGATGATGAACTCCTTGAATTTGATCTTACCTGAGAAGCACCTTATCTGTCCTTCCATTCTAAATGAAAGTTTTGCTGGATAGAGCAATCTTGGTTGTAGGTTTTTGGATTTCATGACTTGGAATACCTCTTTCCAGCCCCTTCTTGCCTGTAAGGTCTCTTTTGAGAAATCCGCTGACAGTCTGATGGGGACTCCTTTGTAGGTGACTGTCCCCTTAGCTCTTGCTGCTTTTAGGATTCTCTCCTTCATTTTAATTTTGGCTAATGTAATTATGATGTGCCTTGGTGTGTTCCTTCTTGGGTCCAACTTCTTTGGTACTCTCTGAGCTTCCTGGATTTCCTGGAAGTCTATTTCCTTTGCCAGATTGGGGAAATTCTCCTTTATTATTTGTTCAAATAAGTTTTCCACTGGTGGCTGTTCCTTTCCCCCTTCTGGTACCCCTATAATTCGGATGTTGGAGCGTTTAAAGGATGTCCTGGAGGTTCCTAAGACTCTCCTCATTTCTTTGAATTCTTGCTTCTTTTCTGTTTGGCCATTATTTGCTTTCTTCTGGTCCACTCCATTGATTTGAGTCCCAGTTTCCTTTTCATTGCTATTGGTGTCCTGTGCAATTCCATTCATTTCAATTAGTTTCGCCTTCATATGTTTGTCTAATTTGTCGGTATAATCAACCAGTTCTGTGAGGATCCTGATGACCAGTGTTTTAAACTGTGCATCTGAGAGTTTTGCTATTTCTTCATCGCTTCGATCTATGGGCTCTGGGGCTTTGAGATATTCTTGCGACATTTTTGGTCTGTTCTGGCCCTTTAAGTGTGAGAAGTGGTGCCTTGGACTCCCAGGTCTCTGGGTTGTGACGCTGTATGTGGGGGCGTGGTCAGAGCGGGGAAATGGCGACCCCCCTCTGCTGTTTCTCACAGCTGGGTAGGAGCAGTGCCTTAGGTGGTTCACCTGGGCTGGGCCACTCAGAGTCGCTGGGTTATGACGCTGTATGTGGAGGTGGGGTCAGAGCAGGGAAATGGCGGAGCCCTCCACAGCCGCTAGCCGCGGGACCCGCCAGCCCCGGTCCAACCGCTCACTCCCTCGCCTGTCTGCCCGTGCACAAATGCGCGATCAATCACAGTCAACACGCAGCACCACTCCCCCGCTGTCTCCCCCGGCGGTCGCTCTCCTAGTGGCTTGCTCGGTCGCTCACTAGGTCCAACCCTGCGCCTGGATTCTGCGTCTGGATTCCGCGCCTGAGTCCGGCTGACTGAGACCTGTGCAATCCCGCTTCACCAGCTGCTGGTTTCGCCCCTTACCGGTCAGGCTGAAGAATTTGTTGTTAACGGACTTCCGAAAAGTTCAATTTTCCGTGTTCTGGCTGTGTTTTCTGTTGCTAATATTTAGTTGTCTCTAAACTTGGTTGTGTGAGAAGGCACGGCACATCCACCTATGCCTCCATCTTGGCGGAAGTCGAAAAATAAAATTTTACAGTTTACTGAATTAGAGTCTAATATCCACAATTATGTTATAGATTTTATTGAAACAGATTTTTTCTCCTAAAATTATACTCGTTTTCATCAAAGAGCCAAATCAAGGCCAATTTATTCATATTAAATCTAGTTTCCATTAAACCCAATTATTTGCACAGACACAAGAATAGCAATTGATTATATAGCCTTTAAAAAAGTTTATATTGTATATTTTTGCCATTACCATTTAATCCCCTTATACTCCCCTACCCCCTATATAGGCTTTCTTAAATCTACTTTGCTGGAATGTTACAAGGAATTTTCAAAGTTCAAAGGATTGAACTTTAATTAGCCCCTCAGGGCCAGGAAGTGAAGCCACACAATTGCTCTCAGGCTTTGCTTGGAATATCTATAGGTTTGGGTAAACAACTCAAGTTTTTGACATCCCCAAAATGTCCTGAGATTCTTCCTTGCCATCTCACAGGAAAGCGACATTCACTCCTTACCTGGAAAGATAGCTGTGAAC